AATGATGAGCTTGGGGAAAGTGATCACAAATCACTCAGTTTTAATATATCATGGAATTCCCCTAATAATGGCAATCAAGTCTCCGTCCCTGACTTTCGCTTGGCTGATTTCATAGGACTGAATAATTACTTAGGTGGGCTGAACTGGAATGACCTGACTAAGGGTCAGGTAGGTGGTGATGGTTGCCGATATGATGCTTTCCAGGGCATAGTTCTAGCTGCTCAGTCAAATTATGTTCCAAATAGGGAAATCAGATCAAACAAAAATGATCCTAAATGGATGAACAATAGATTAAAATATCTGATTGGTCAAAAGAGAGGCATATATAGGCAAATCAAAAGAGGAGAGGGGCAGTTAAGAAATCGATATATTCAGTTAAAGAGAGAAATAAAAAAGGGAATTAGAAAAGCAAAAAGAGATTATGAGGTTTAAAGTTGCAAGAGAATCGAAGACTAACCAAAAGGATTCTTTCAGGTATACAGAAGTAAGATCAGGGACAAGATAGGCCCACTCAAAAAGTTCCTCGGGTCAGCTCACTGACAGTGATAAGGAAATGTGTAGAATTTTTAACACATCTTCCTCTCAGTTTTTACACAGGAGGATACCAGCGATATTCCGGAAATAATAAATTATGTAGAACAGGACGATAATAAACTGCGCACGATTTTGGGTCACAAGTGACATGGTCCTTAGGCAAATAGATAAATTAAAACCTAACAAATCCCCAGGCCCTGATGAACTGTATGCAAGGGTTCTAAAGGGAATGTAAAGAGGAGCTTAGCAAACCTTTGGCTAATCTTTTCAACATATCACTACAAACTGGCATGGTGCCAGATAAGTGGAAAATGGCAAATGTGATACCTATTTTTAAAGCAGGTGACAGGTCCTTAGCTTTGAACTATAGACCAATAAGCCTAACCTCCATAGTGGGAAAATTTATGGAATCAATAATTGCCGAGGCAGTTCATAGCCACCTTGAAAAGCATAAATTAATCAACGAATCTCAGCATGGTTTTACAAAGGGGCGTTCCTGCCTTACAAATTTATTAACTTTTTTCACTAAGGTATTTGAGGAGGTAGATCATGGTAATGAATATGATATTGTGTATATGGACTTCAGTAAGGCTTTTGACAGGGTCCCACATCAGAGACTATTGAGGAAAATTAAGGCACATGGAATAGGAGGAGAAATTTTTTCCTGGATAGAGGCATGGTTGACAAATAGGCAGCAGAGAGTTTGCATAAATGGGGAGAAATCAGAGTGGGGAAGCGTCACGAGCGGGGTTCCACAGGGGTCGGTGTTGGGCCCCCTGCTGTTCACAATCTACATAAACGACATAGATGAGGGCATAAAGAGCGACATCGGCAAGTTTGCCGATGACACCAAAATAGGCCGTCGAATTCATTCTGACGAGGACATTAGAGCACTCCAGGAAGATTTGAATAGACTGATGCAGTGGTTGGAGAAGTGGCAAATGCAGCTTAATATAGACAAATGCAAAGTTCTAAAATTTGGACAGGACAATAACCATGCCACATATAAACTAAATACTAATGTAGATCTTAATATTACGGATTGCGAAAAAGATTTAGGAGTTCTGGTTAGCAGTAATCTGAAACCAAGACAACAGTGCATAAGTGTTCGCAATAAAGCTAATAGAATCCTTGGCTTCATATCAAGAAGCATAAATAATAGGAGTCCTCAGGTTGTTCTTCAACTCTATACATCCTTGGTTAGGCCTCATTTAGATTATGCTGCACAGTTTTGGTCACCGTATTACAGAATGGATATAAATGCTCTGGAAAATGTACAAAGGAGGATGACAAAGTTGATCCCATGTATCAGAACCTTCCCTATGAGGATAGACTAAGGCCCTGAATCTGCATCTCTAGAAAGACGTAGAATTAGGGGGGATATGATTGAGGTGTATAAATGGAAGACAGGAATAAATAAAGGGGATGTAAATAGTGTGCTGAAAATATCTAGCCTAAACAGGACTCGCAGCAATGGTTTCAAGTTGGAAAAATTCAGATTCAGGAAGGATATAGGAAAGTACTGGTTTGGTAATAGAGTTGTGGATGAGTGGAACAAACTCCCAAGTACAGTTATAGAAGCCAGAACGTTGTGTAGTTTTAAAAATAGGTTGGATAAATACATGAGTGGATGTGGGTGGGTGTGAGTTGGACCTGATAGCTTGTGCTACCAGGTCGGTTGCCGTGTTCCTCCCTTAAGTCAATGTGACCTGACCTGACTAGGTTGGGTGCATTGGCTTAAGCCGGTAGGAGACTTGGACCTGCCTCGCATGGGCCAGTAGGCCTTCTGCAGTGTTCCTTCGTTTTATGTTCTTATGTTGGTTTGCGTGCAGCCAGCAGTAACAGCCTGGTTGATCAGGCTCTGATCCACCAGGAGGCCTGGTCAAAGACCGGGCCGCAGGGGCGTTGACCCCCGGAACTCTCTCCAGGTAAACTCCAGGTAATATAGGTACGGCCTATGAGCCAGTGTTGGTGACGTATTAATACGCCAAAATTCTAGCAGCTTCAAATCTGGCAGGAGAAAGCTGGTAGACCTACATGTGAGACAATCTGTCTGTGTGGTCAGTATGCGCAGTGTGAAAAAATCGGAGAAGTCGCAGTGCATTGTGGGAGTGCTAATTCAGTACGCCTTGGTCACCAAGCCTAGCGGTAAGGAATACCTCACTCCCCGGCGAATTGGGACTCTTCCCTTTCCAAGTGATAGTTCTAACACAGATTGAAGTGTCAATGAAGATGAATCTCATGGTTTTGATGAGTTTGTGACCAAAAACAATGCCCAGGATACCAGAAGAAAGAAAGAAAGGTAGGTAGGTAGGAAGGAAGGACGGTGGGGAAGAAGGCATGGGACCCCATGGGTGTTGACAGACAGTAAGGGTAGTGAGTGATGGTATAATGTCATTTTGACAGCAGCCACAACCTGACTCCGCACATTTAGAAGTCCACACACAACACCAAGCTTACAGAAGATAATAGCAGTTCTTTGAACGTGTCCAGTGACTGTGTATGTGTATATACATTGTAGAAACCAGAAGGAATGAAGGAAGGAAAGAATGAAGGAAGGAAGAAAGAAAGAAAGAAAGAAGGAAATAAAAGTAAATAGGTAGGTAGGAAGGAATGATGACACATGACCATTTACCTAGGATAAATTCATAACACAATTGCCTGCTACTACTTTGAAGAAAACTGCTCAGACGAGGTGTTTTGTCTGTGCACATACACAAAAAACACCCACAAAAATGCAGAGACACTCATTTTATGTGTGAGTGTAAAACACCATTGTGTATGAAACCATGTTTCAAAGAGTTCCACAAGCTGCAGAACTTCTAGGAACATGTCCAGTGACTGTACATTTGCATCTATATTATAGAACAATAGTAATATACAATTTTTTTGTATTGTTTGTTTGTGTAAACCAGTTTTGTAAACAATATACATGTATTTAATTATGTTTGTGCACTTACTGTGAATACAAGTGTATACAGTGGACCCCCGCATAACGATTACCTCCGAATGTGACCAATTATGTAAGTGTATTTATGTAAGTGCGTTTGTATGTGTATGTTTGGGGGTCTGAAATGGACTAATCTACTTCACAATATTTCTTATGGGAACAAATTCGGTCAGTACTGGCACCTGAACATACTTCTGGAGTGAAAAAATATCGTTAACCGGGGGTCCACTGTATATGTACATTGCACCATACTTTGGTCTCACAGGCCACATAAGTTATCTGAAAAATAAGTAGTGGGAAAAACAAGAAATCTTTGAATGGGAGTAAAAAAAAAGTTTACCAGGTGAATGCCATTTTCTGCTGTTGCCATACACGGCTCATTTTCTGCCAACTTTATGCCTCTATATCTCGGTAAGTACTGATAGCAAAAAAAAAAAAAAAAAAAAAAATTAAGCTTAAAACACAGCAAATTAATCCTAGCATTTTGGTAAGAAAAAATAATTTTTTATTTTTCAAATATTTTTCGACATAGGAAGACAGTTTCAGAAATGGGCTTGCAACAGTCACAGGGTTAATATTTGATAGTGAAAACATTTTTATCAGGCTTTTATATGCATTTGAGAGTGAAAAAAGATTATGCTTCACTTTACAGTGAATTTTGCTTTACAGCAGTAGCCCAGAACCAAACCTGCTGTGTAAGTAGAGGCCTCCTGTACTAATGAGAGTAATTACAGTAATGGTTGTATCAGTTATTGAGTGTAGTGATTCCATGTTGATAAATGCAGCATTTGGATTGTGCTCTTGTAATAAAGCTGACACATTTTAATTACTGGACAGCAAAGAATGAGTGTCAAGTGACATAATACAGTATCATAATGCATGTGTAGTTAGTTATTTGGCATCTTTTGAGGGTTTCACACTCTAATTTTATAGCTATTAATGATATGTTAGTGTCTTAGCTCAGTCGTAGAGCATTTAGCTCACAACTGAAAAAACCTGGATTCAATTTCCAGGCAGTACACTTACAATTCATGTTCACCTAGCAGTAAATAGGTTCCTAGGAGATAGTCAGCTATAGCAGGCTGCATCATAGGGTAGGATGATACACAGATAACTTGCACATAGGAATCTGAAGCTTAGTTAATCTTAAGTTAATTTTAAGCCTGCCCATAATGCTCTGCATACAAGGGGCTTTGGCATGTTACACTTAACCACTGTATTTCTTTGTACATCTATGTATCATGTTCAAATTAATAAATAAATAAGTATGACGACATTTCAGTCCAACTTGGACCATTAACTAGTTGCAAAGAAGTGCAAAGCAAAGGGTAGGATGCCAGTAGAAACCATACTGCTGGGTTTTGTTGGGTTATTCTGCTAAAAAAACTCCAAGGTTAAATATACCATAATGATGCCTTCTTAAGTATTTATAAATATTGTACATGAGAACTTAAAGGTAATTTATTCTTATGAACTTAAATGAATTACAATCCATTTTGATAATCCTTTTTTGAAGATGGAAGCAGAAATATTTAAAACTGTTCCCATCATATGACTCAGTCTTGTGTCACCAGGACTGACTGGGTTGATGTTGGCAGTGATGATGGCCGCCCTCATGTCCTCCCTCACCTCCATCTTCAATTCCTCCTCAACTATTTTTACTATTGATATCTGGACCAGGATCCGCAAGCAAGCAACTGATGTGGAGCTATTGATTGTCGGTCGAGTGTTTGTGATAGTGATGGTAGTGGTGTCTGTCATATGGATCCCAGTCATCCAGTGAGCTCTACAACCTTTTTATTTTTACACTTGTTGATTTAATAACAGCCATTAATCAAAATACAGCTCTACAGCTTTATTGTACACTTGTTTAATAACAGCCATTGATCAAAATTCAGTTTTTCTAGTGCACTTGTGTGTGTCAACTTATGGATGATCTTAGGAACAGACAAAATGCAGCACTGTTTAAAGAACAAAAAGGCACAATACCGTGACTGGAACAATACACAAATAACCCACACATAGGAGAAAGACACTTTTGACAACATTTTGGTCTAACTTAGACCATTACCTAGTTAATGGTCTTAGTCGGACCAGAACGTTATAAGTTTCTTTCTTCAATGTGCAGGTTATTTGTGCATTAAATACTGTATAAGAGTCATTTTATGTTAAGTTAGGTTACTTTAACTTGACAAATTATCCTAAATTTGCATTGGGATAGTTAACTGCCAATAAACAAATCACAGTACAGTGGGACCCCCTGTATCCGCGGGTCCTTTATCAGCGGTTTCAGCTCTTCATAATTTGCCATGGCCTAAAAATAACCCTTAATTTTGCTTAATAATGGCCTCAGAGTGCAGAAGTAGTGACGGTGGAAGGTCTTCAAAGTCTAAGAGAAGCCAGGAAGTGCTTTCTATCAGTGAAAAGTGATAATTCTCCATTTATTGTACATAATTTATCAATTAAATTTTATAAAAGGTATGTACAGTAGACCCTTATATTACACTGTAGTTACATTCCTGAAAATGCATTTAGATAAATCTGTCGTTATACAAATTGAAGAACTTACAGGAAAAATAGGGTTACATTCCTGGGACTCCCCAAAAAGTCAAACAACTTTATTTTACACGTCCAGATCTTACAAACATAAAAATGATAATGTTGTTTTTGTTGTTTAAGACTACAAATACAACAGAAATAATAATATTTACCTTAAATTGTGGTTGCTGGTTTATGTCAGTGATTGTGAGGAGAGTGGAGATGCATGGTGTGGCCCTACTGGGCTGAGGTGGATGGCTGTTGGTTGTCAGCAGAAGTGGATGGTTGAGATTCTGGTACTAAAGTTGATGGTTGCATTGGAGTGTGCATAAATTCTGTAATGGATCTCTGGCTTCTTTTACCCTGAAGTACATTATACAGCTGACGGTAAGGCAGCATCAACTGCTCTAGACCCTGTTTCAAAGCACTGCTTCTAGATTTGTCAGGGTCCTCTTCAGTGAAAAAATCTTCTAGTTTAGCAGCAACATGGACTGCTCACATAACTGCTGCAATGCTGTTTTTCTTCAGGTTCTTCTTCTTCATCTTCTGTTATCTGGCTCCCTTGTATCTGTGCATTGAGCTCTGGCAACATTTCCTCTGGACTCCTGTCTTCATCATCATCATCATCATCATCATCTTAGAGCTCATTCACATCTTCGTCCTTCATATCTTCAAAGCCATCACCTGGTAATCTCTTTGTCAGCTGAACAGTTTCTTGAACCTGACTCTCAAGCAAGGGAAAAACCAATGAAAGCATTAACTACAGAAGGCCATAACTTTCCCCAGCCTGCATTTAATGTTGATTGGGACACTTCATTCCATGCACCTCTAACATAGGTTGATGGCATCTGCAATGTTAAATTTATTCCAGAAGCTTGGTACTGCCAGGTTAGAGTCAGAGTCCATCCAGATTTTTTCCCCTCCCACAAACCGAACCGTGTTAAGTTAATTTTACGAAATGTTGCATAAAATTATGCCTCAATTTTTCAGTAGTGTAATAACCACAACGTGCCAAATAAATCCGTATAATATAAGGGTCTACTGTATGTAAATTAAAAACGTGTATATAGGGTTAACTACTATCTGCAGTTTCAGTATTCATGGTAGGTCCTTGGAACGTATTCCCATGGATACAGGATAGCAACTGTATACAAATAAGGTGGTTAACATTTAACAGTGAGTATACACCACTGTTGTTTAATTTATTGGACTGTTGTCTACAGTATGAGGACATGGTGTAATGTATTAAATTAATTATAAAATTATATTTTTGTCATGGCTAATCCAGTTGCACTTAACTGTTGCTTGACTTGCCCTTCAGAAACTCGGCAAACTCTCAGCTGTTTGTTTACATTCAGAGTGTCTCATCATTCCTGGCTCCACCCATATGTGCCATCTATCTCCTTGCTATATTCTGGGAGCGAACCAATGAACCCGTGAGTCATGTAATTACTTCCTCTTGTACTGAAAAATACCCATTTATAATGAGTGACAATTTAACTATTCAGTCACACAAGCCTGTTGGATGCTCAGGCCGCTAGCTTTCTAAACTTCCTTTACTCCCTCTGACCTTTCTTGGGATGAGCCTTGCTCCCCTTTCTTCCACCCCAGATTTATACACCTTGGTTATCCTCTTCTGCTCCATCCTCTCTAAATACTCAAACTGCTTTTAACTTTTCATCACCTTTTGAATTCTGATATTTAATTTTTATCATTTTTTTCAACTATACCTAAGAAATATTTTTAACCATGTTATTGACAGTTATATTTTTAAAGAACATGTATGTAAGAAAGTGTCTCTTTCTTTTTTTGCAGGGAGCCTTCTGGGGTCTTCTTATTGGCTTAATTATTGGGCTCACCCGCTTCTTGCTGGAGTACACCTTCATTGCACCCCGGTGTGGAGGTATGTCTGTCTGTCCTTGGCTACAGTGAGTCATGTGATTAATTGTACATGACCAATTGCTGCACTCCATTAATGTACCATTAACCCCTTGACTGTCGCAACCCCCAATCCTGAGGTGTCCTCCTGGTGTCGCAAAATTTATAAAAAAAAAAAAAAAAAAAATTTCTTATGAAATGATAGAGAACTTTTTCCCGATTGTAATGACACCAAAAAAACAAATTTGATGGAAAACTGACGGAATTACGCTCTCGCGAACTTAGTGACCTCAGCGATATTTACAAATCGGTGATTTCGCCCACTTTGAGCCCTATTTTCGGCTAATTCCATTGTTCCAGTCGACCAAACTCATAGCTATTTCTTTAGAATTCTGTTTTTTCTATCGATTGAGTACAAGAAACTGCCCATTTACCGATTTCAACTACCCAATAAAATGGTCAGAAATTTGCAGTTTAGCCAATTTCACAAAAATTAAAAAATATGACACTTTCAAAATAAGGTCCAGAATGAACAATGCAGACATTCCTGGCTCTAAAATAACATTTTCTTTGTTCATCAGTCATGTCTCCAGGCCCCTCTGATATTACTCTTGCTTTCTATTTTGAATTTTTATTCAAACAAAAATAGAAGATTTACTGTTATGCAGACTACAGCAATATTGTAATAATTGTATAAATAATGTCAACCCATTCATGACTGCATATTAGAATGGCTACTTGGACATTTATTGGACAATGACATCATTTGTTTACTTTTGAACATTGGCAAAAATCAAACATTTCCCCTACTTTGAGCTCCATTTCCAGGTTCTTTTTATATAAAATCAATCAAAATCACCTCTATTTCTATAATATGTTTTAAAAAATGAGACCCAAAAAACGAGAATACAACCATAAATACTATACGAAAATAGACCACAAAGTCGGCACTTTAATTAAAAAAAACGGTCGGAATTTTTTTTTTCTCATTATGCACTGCGTGCTCCAGGATTTTTTTTTTATATGGTGCACACTGACCACACAGACCCATTCTCTCACATGTGGGCCTACCAGCTTTCTCCTGCTTGATTTGAAGCCACTAGAATTTATGAGTACACCTACCATCCGACTTACGACCACTCGACTTACGACCGTGTTTTTTTTTTTGCCAAATTTCTGGGAAATAAACAACTATTTGTGTTGTACACAGTGTTTATCCTAAACCTTACAGTATAAAATACAGTACTAACAGCATAAAAAATAAAGTAAAACATGAAATACCTAAATAAAACAATAAAATAAAGTCATTACAAAATTTTTTTTTTTTCAACAAGTCGGCCGTCTCCCACCGAGGCAGGGTGACCCAAAAAAGAAAGAAAATCCCCAAAAAGAAAATACTTTCATCATCATTCAACACTTTCACCACACTCACACATTATCACTGTTTTTGCAGAGGTGCTCAGAATACAACAGTTTAGAAGCATACACATATAAAGATACACAACATATCCCAAACCCCTCCTTAAAGTGCAGGCATTGTACTTCCCATTTCCAGGACTCAAGTCCGACTATATGAAAATAACTGGTTTCCCTGAATCCCTTCACTAAATATTACCCTGCTCGCACTCCAACAGATTGTCAGGTCCCAAGTACCATTCGTCTCCATTCACTCCCATCTAACATGCTCACGCACGCTTGCTGGAAGTCCAAGCCCCTCGCCCACAAAACCTCTTTTACCCCCTCTCCAACCCTTTCGAGGACGACAAAAATGTGATGTTGATATTCAGTAGTAAAGTTCGACTTACGTCCGGTTTCTCGGAACCGAACTCGGTCGTAAGTCGGATGGTAGGTGTATATATACGTCAAACACGGTATCTCGTAAGACGTTTATATACGGCCGCAACAGTCAAAAGGTTAAACTAAGCCTGAAATCAATTGGAGTTAAAATTTCTCTCTTATCACCAATTGATTTTTTCTGGTATTCGTCTTGAAAATGACATCTATGTGATACACTAAATAATAAAATCCATTACTTTCTCAGATGAAGACCAAGACAAGCGCCCTGAGTGGGTTAAGATCATTGTGGGGAAGGTTCACTATCTTCACTTCCGATGTATCTTGTTCCTGATTGTCTTGGCAGTGACTGTAGCTGTGTCCTTCCTTACTGAACCCATACCTAAGAAATGTGTAAGTTCCTAAACAAAGAGAAGATGAGAAAGAATATGCATAGGTTACATAATTTAATTTTGTACTACATGAAACTAAGACTGACTATATCCTCATCCCATACTGCTCTTCTTCAAATATGCTTCACTAAAATTTGTCTGTATGGTTTGCTTCCCTTCAAGAGAGGTGCATTGATAGCAGTGAAAAGCTCTTGATCTAAGAAATGGGATCCATCCTCACTTCCCTTGGCTTGAATCAGGTTGCCTCCACTTCCCCAATTTAGCACTTTTTTCACGAGTAGGATAAAAATATATATGGCTTGCTCCTCAGTTGCACCGGCTGACATATGCCACCCGCCACAGTCAAGAGGTGCGTGTGTCCATCAGGGATTGGAGGAATGAAAAAAAGTCCATCGATGATAAGATTCACCTTAAGTCTAGACCTGCTGAAAGAAACATCTACAAAGCTACCATACTTGCCAGTGACATACAAGGTAAGTTTTAAATGATGACTCCCTGGAAGGAAGGTTCCTTGATGTTGGTGAGGGGCTCTTGATTTAGGGAATTGGATCTGTGCTCCAGTTCCCCAAATTAAGCCTGATTGCCTTCCATATCCCCCCCCCCCAGGCGCTGTATAATCCTCCGGGTTTAGCTCCCCCTTGATTATAATAATAATTAAATGATGACTCATTTGTTTTATTAATAAATGCATAATTATTTTGTGTAAGGGAAAAAAGACAGCATTTACTATAAAATGTCCTTTGTTGCAGTAATATATAACAAAATAATATACTGTATAAGTTTCATATTGGCAGTTTGGAGGGATATGTTGTGTATCTTTGTACGTGTGTGCTTCTGAACTGTTGTATTCTGAGCACCTCTGCAAAAACAGTGATAGTGTGTGAGTGTGGTGAAAGTGTTGAGTGATGATGAAAGTATTTTCTTTTTGGGGATTTTCTTTCTTTTTTGGGTCACCCTGCCTCAGTGGGAGATGGCCAACTTGTTGAAAAAAAAAAAAAAAGTTTCATGGTCTCAGAATTGCCTGTCTGGAGATGCCGTATCAACTATGTGTGTGGGGTTAACACCCAGAATATCAGTGCCTCACAAGAAGATCCTGCCAACCTAGAAACTCCAGAAGAAAAAGCCAGAAGAGCTGCAGAGTCCTTGGAAGAAAAGAAGCCTTGGACCAAGTAAGTGTATTGTTGTGTGCTTTTTCAGTCTTTCTCATACAAAATATTAATTGTCAACTCATTCATGTGTTACTTGCCACAAAAAAACAACACAGAGTTAGAGGAGAGTTGCTGACACAAGCATCAATAAATAGTGACTGGAGTTTGGGGCTTTGCCCACTCCCATCTGATGTCAGACATAACTTGCAAACTTCCTTGAGCAAGTGGTGGTGAATGAAGTCCTATACTGAGTTTAAGATGAACAACAGTCCCTGCTGGGACCAGAGGTGTGAATGGTGGTGTGAATGAGGCATGGCATACAGCCTCTCCTCACTTAATGATGGAGTTCCGTTCCTAAGACCATGTTAAACGAATTCATCGCTAAGTGAGGAGCATAGTATAATGGTAGTGAGTTTGTGTCAGCCATCTTTGATATTGTTTTAATGTCGCCTTTGTACCATTTATAACATTTCTGGTATATTTTTAAATGTTTATACAGTAGTGTACTGTATATTGAAATAAACAGAATAGAGGAAATCAGCTCTTAATATACATTATTCAGGTATGAAAACTGGTCAGAGAGCCTGTTGTAAGTCCGAGGTGTCGGTAAATGAGTATGTCTCTAAATGAGGAGAGACTGTATACCAGGTGAACCCCCTCTCTTCTACAAATGCAGAAATAATGTTTACATCTTCGCAATGTAACCATACTACGACATGATTACATATATGCACAGTACATATGTAAAATTAATAATAAAATTTTGCCTAAATAATTTTGTGACTGGATACAATACCACATTTAATAATAAATGAAAGTCACAGTAGAGTGGCTGGAACAATTCGCAAACATGAATTTAGGGAGGAAACTCTATCTTTACCTGACCGTCTTCTGTGTTTTTATATTCTAGCATAGTTATGACTATAATCATCTGAGATGGACCAAAACATCTAGAATTTTCTTTCCAAAGTGTGGGTTGTTTGTGAATTGTTCCAGCCATTCTATTGTGACTTATTTTTTTTCACACAATATTTAATAATTCTAATGTCAGATTTACATTACAGTCTTCTTCTTTCAACAAATCGGCCGTTTCCCACCGAGGCAGGGTGGCCCAGAAAGAAAAACAAAAGTTTCTCTCTTTAACTTTAGTAATGTATACAGGAGAAGGGGCTACTAGCCTCTTGCTCCTGGCATTTTAGTCGACTTTTATGACACGCATAACTTGCGGAGGAAGAATTCTGTTCCACTTCTCCTTGGAGATAAGAGGAAATAAGAACAATAACTAGTAAGAAAATAGAAGAAAACCCAGAGGGGTTTGTATATACAGGAGGGCCCCATTATATGGCAGGTTAGCTTCCAGGCTACTGCTGTAAAGTGGAAATCACCGTAAAGTAGAACACCCTTTTTTTTTCCACTTATAAATGCATATAAATACTAGATAACAAGCTTACACTAACATATATTAGTTAGCAATAGAACTAGGCATTAAAAAACAATAAAAGAGTAAAATACACATATAGTACAGTGGAACCTCAAAAATCGAACGTATTAAATGTCGAACGTTTCGAAAATAAGACCATTTTTTCGGACAAACTATGTCCCAATTATCGAACGCGCCCCTAATTTCAGACCGCCAGGTACGGGACCTGTCCGCTGGCCCACTCTGCCCGCGTTGGCGCCGTGAGCAGTCTAGCTTTGTTTATGCTTGAGTGAACACTAACCTGTGATCTCATTCACACATTTTACGATTATTTAATTGTGTTTAGTGCTTGTGGGGCTGTGAAATAAGCTGCCATGGGCCCAAAGAAACTTGCTAGCGGTACCCCCGTGGTAAAGAAAGTGAGAAACACCGTAGATGTGAAGAAGGAAATAATACTGAAGTATGAGATTGGAGTGAGACTTGTTGAGCTTGCCAGGATGTACAGAGGACTGTGGACAGTTATTTTGTGAGACAGAAGCAGACGACTGTGGACAGTTATTTTGTGAGACAGAGACAGACGACTGTGGAGTTATTTTGTGAGACAAACAGACGATTGTGGACAGTTATTTTGCGAGACAAACAGACGATTGTGGACAGTTATTTTGTGAGACAGAAACAGATGACTGTGGAGGGAAGTGATTTTTATGACAGTTATTTTGCAAGACAGAAACAGACGACTGTGGAGGGAAGTGATTTTTATGATTCTGTGAGACAGAAGCAGACGACTGTGGACAGTTATTTTGTGAGACAGAGACAGACGACTGTGGAGTTATTTTGTGAGACAGACGATTGTGGACAGTTATTTTGCGAGACAGAAACAGATGGCTGTGGAGTTATTTTGTGAGACAGAAACAGACGACTGTGGACAGTTATTTTGTGAAACAGAAACAGACGACTGTGGACAGTTATTTTGTGAGACAGAAACAGACGACTGTGGAGTTATTTTATGAGACAAACAGTCGATTGTGGACAGTTATTTTGTGAGACAGGGGTCCAATGACTCTCAAGCTGGTCCTAGTGGCATTAAAATACAGAGAAGGGAAGCAACCCCAGAGAGAGCTTTGATACCGGAAGTCCTCATGGAGGGGAATTCTCTTTCCAAACAATAACCCCAACTCCCTCTCTCCTCCTCCCTATCTTCCAGATGCCATCACCAATCTTCAATAAAGGTAAGTAAAAATGTTATTTTATATTACTATACATAATTAAAGACTGTAGCATTTGTTGTGTGTATGTAAAACTGTAATTAATCTCTATAAAATGTATTATTTTTGGGTTTCTGGAACGGATTAATTGTATTTTCATTATTTCTTACGGGAAATATTGCATCGAATTTCAGACTTTTCGAATTTAGAACTAGCTCCTGGAACGGATTAAGTTCGATTTTTGAGGTTCCACTGTACACTCATTACTTACCTTAAAATATTTGTAGTCTTAATCTAGGGTGAGATGAGTAGTATTTATTGTAAGAAATCAAGTGTAGCATGTATGGTAGCCAGCCAGGCTACAATAACAGGCCACTCCACCCACACATTATATTCTATGATATTTAAGTTTCCCAGAGCGATAAAATGCATATACAGTGGACCCCTGGATAATGTAATTAATCTGTTCCAGAGAGTGACTTATCCCGAATCTGACTTGTTCCGAATTAATTTTCCCCATAAGAAATAATGGAAATCCAGTTAATCCGTTCCAAACACCCAAAATAATTTTTTTACATGAAAATATTTTTTTTACATGAAATATACATTTCCCTACACAGAAAACAATGAGATATGCTGAGTAAAACATTACTAAAATGACACTTACCTTTATTGAAGACTTATTGATGAGTGATGAGAAGGGAGGAGGTTAGAGGATGGAGGTGTACTATTGTTTGGAAGGGGACTCCCCTTCCATAAAGACTTCAGGTACCAAGTCCTTTTCTGGGGTTACTTCCCTTCTTTATTTTTTAATGCCACTAGGACCAGCTTGAGTCACTGGACCCCCGTCGCACAAAATATCTGTCTAGAGAGCTCCGTTTCTGGTGTCTCTTTAAGATTTCCCTATAATAGGACACAACATTGTCATTGTTGATGTTGCCAGCACAGCCTGCAACAGCTCTGTCAGGGTGATGTTCATCCATAAATGTTTGAACATAAGAAAGCAGGAACACTGCAGCAGGCCTGTTAGCCCATACTAGGCAGGTCCTTCACAAACCATCCCACTAACAGAATCGTATTTGCCCAACCCAATTTTCAATGCTTCCCAAGCAATAAGCTTTGATATTCTATTCACTCATGAGCAAGTCCCACTCGAATCAAATCATGTGTGTGGGGAAGTACCCTGTCTGGTGTGTGGGGAAATACCCTGGCTGGTGTACATAAAAAAGCAGGAACACTGCAGCAGACCTGTTGACCCATACTAGGCAGGTCCTTCACAAACCATCCCACTAACAGAATCGTATTTGCCCAACCCAATTTTCAGTGCTTCCCAAGCAATAAGCTTTGATAATTCTATTCACACCTATTCAAAGTGGGAGTTGTCACAGTTGCTCTTTGCTGATGATACTGTGCTTTTGGGAGATTCTGAAGAGAAGTTGCAGAGGTTGGTGGATGAATTTGGTAGGGTATGTAAAAGAAGAAAATTAAAAGTGAATATAGGAAAGAGTAAGGTGATGAGGATAAAAAGATTAGGTGATGATAGATTGGATATCAGACTGGAGGGAGAGAGAGTATGGAGGAGGTGAATGTATTCAGATATTTAGGAGTGGACATGTCAGCAGATGGGTCTATGAAGGATGAGGTGAATCATAAAATTGATGAGGGGAAAAGGGTGAATAGTGCACTTAGGAGTCTGTGGAGACAAAGAACTTTGTCTGTGGAAGCAAAGAGAGGAATGTATGAGAGTATGTATAGTTATACCAACACTCCTATATGGGTGTGAAGCATGGGTGATGAATGTTGCAACGAGGAGAAGGCTAGAGGCAGTGGAGATGTCATGTCTGAGGGCAATGTGTGTGGTGTGAATATAATGCAGAGAATTCGTAGTTTGGAAATTAGGAGAAGGTGATTACCAAAACTATTATCCAGAGGGCTGAGAAGGGGTTGTTGAGGCGGTTCAGACATGTAGAGAGAATGGAACAAAACAGAATGACTTTGAGAGTGTATAAATCTGTAGTGGAGGGAAAGTGGGGTAGGGATCGGCCTAGGAAAGGTTGAGTGAGTGTATTCGATAGGAGTGAATGGATACAAATAATTTTTAATACTACTTGACGTGCTGTTCGAGTGTGAGCAAAGTAACATTTATGAAGGGATTCAGGGAAACCGGCAGGCCAGACTTGAGCCCTGGAGATGGGAAGTACAGTGTCTGCACTCTGAAGGAGGGGCATTAATGTTGCAGTTTTATAACTGTAGTATAAAGCACCCCTCTAGCAAGACAGTGATGGAGTGAATGATGATGAAAGTTTTTGTTTTTCGGGCCACCCTGTTTTGGTGGGAATCAGCTGATGTGTTAATAAAAATAAAAATTCTGTTCACTCATGCACAAGTCCCAATCAAATCAAAGCGTGTGTGTGGGGAAGTACCCTGGCTGGTGTGTGTGGGGAAGTACTCTGGCTGGTGTACATAAGAAAACAGGAACACTGCAGCAGACCTGTTGGCCCATACTACCACCCTCTATTACCATCACAACCACTACCATCCTCTACCACCACCACTTTCATATCTTTCTACAAACTTTTTCTTGAATTCTATAGCTTTTCTGACATTATTTACCAAAGGGCTGGCACTAGAAGCTTTTTTGGGGCTCATGGTGGCTTATTTAGCAGTTACAAGCACTAAAAAGAATGGAATAATACGAAATGTATCGTATGAATGAGTGGGATCGTCCTCGCTGGCTGGTAAACAATGGCACACTGGCTGTACATGGAGTGTCGGGTGGCTCAGGCCACGAGGACACGTTTGGGATGAATGACTTATACCGAGTTCAGTGACATTTACCGAGTCAATATTTTGACCCAAAAACGTTACTTATTCCGATGACGTCTTAATCCGGGGGTCCACTGTACAGTTCACTCATTACTTACCTTAAAATATTTGTAGTCTTAATGTAGGGTCAGAGGTGAGTAAATGAGATAAAATGAATGAGAGAGAGAGAGAGAATGAGTACACGAGAGAGGACAGGTACGGAGTTAGGTAAACAAATCAGGCGTACGCGAGTTTTGTAAACAAACCAGGCGAACACGTCTGGTTTGTGTACAAGTTGTCTCTACTTTGATACGGTAGAATAAATAAAGAGGAACACTCCCTTTGTCATGTAACACCATTTTTAGAAGAAATGATGCTCTGAGTGAAGGCATACGAAAGGAATAATTTTCTACAGATACCTTCAGTAACACATTTTCTTTGACGTTGGACTAGAAAAAACGTTCTTGCTGTCACTCATACAAATCGTCTGGCTACCACATCTCATATTTATGTTAATTTATTCTACTATGGGGTGTATTTATCATCTTTATATGTTATGTATCGCGTTTATTATATAATCTGGAAAAAATATCATAGATTAATGAAAATGTGTATATTAACGTAATATACGACATTTATGAGACTCTGTGATTATTATTAAGTATTATTACTAATATGGCATCTCGAGACATAAAACACTTACTGATTTTAATGTGTACAGGTCTCTCTTAACATTCGCGAGGATTAGGGGATCAAGAGCCTTGCGAATGTTTGGTGCCCCAATGTATTGTGGGGAAATATAATACAATACTGCTTCCTTAACTTGTTGAACCATGAACAATCATAAAATACATGAAAACGTTGTAAATTGTACTAAATACATACATGTATGTTATTAAATACCACTGCCTCCACCACTGCGAGTCCCTACTACCCTCCCTCCGACCCCCGCAACTGGCAGCCAGCCCTCCCACCACTCAGTGTGGTGAGTGTTTTGTTTGTTCATTATTTGCTATTAAACTACAGTATAAATAATGTAAACCCATTCATGACTGCATATTGGAATGGCTATTCAGACAGGTATTGGACGGTGACATCATATGCATTTATAAGTGGAAAAAAAGGGGTGTTCCACTTTATGGTGGTAGCCCGGAACCTAACCTGCCGTATAAGTGGGGCCCTACTGTAATATTAACCTGACTAGAGTAATATATTATAAAACTATAAATTCCTGCGAGTTTGGGATATTTGCTGTTTAGAGGGACATCTAAACTGTCATATCTGTGCACCTCTGGCAAGACAGTGATGGTAAAGGTATTTATTGGGTCACCCTGCCTCAGTGGGAAACGGCCAGTATGTTAAAAAAAAAAAAAAATCCTGAAACTCAATATGAAGCTAAATTTGAAACGAATTTGTTGTGCAAACTTAAATTATTTTATTATTTGAAGTTTCTATAAATTTCTGTAAATCTGTAGGCATGACTGATTAGTCTTTTATTAATGACATGTTTATCTTTTACAGTATTGTGGATGGTATGGCCATCTTTGTAATGGCAACTGCTTTCTTCTTGTTTGGTTATTACTCCTAGATCAAGTTGAATCAGTCTCTGGTGACTATTGGCTTCTAGTGAGGATTCTTCATCTAGATCCAGGCAGTCTCTTGATAGCTGCTGACTTCTTGTGAGGACTCTATGTCTAAGTCAAGTTGAATGATCTGTGACAGTTGCTGGCTTCTTTAATTAGCAACATTACATCAGTAATAAGTTTATCTGTATGTGTTGAATGACAGGTCATGGCAACACATCAAGGATTGATTACAAAATAATTTTTGTAAGTCTGCAGCACTATGGTACTTATTTATGTGTTACTTATCATTTAGTAAAGTGTTTACACGAAGATGCTACACATCCTACAATGTTATACGTATGTATTATTATTACGTATAATCGTAAGGCAGTGCTAAACCCACAGGGATCATACTGCACCTGGGAATGGAAGGAAATCAGGTTCAATCAAAGGCTGGGATGGATAGGTCCAATTTCTTAGATTAAGAGACCCCTCACTGGCATCAAGGCACCTCCCTTGAGGGAGGTGTCACATCTAGATACTACACATCCTGTAGAAGTGTTACATATGGACACATCCTATAATTAAGTTCAATATACCAAACATACCTCATAGTGTATTATTATTATAATAAAAAAGAAGTGCTAAACCTACAAGGGTCATACAGTGCAGGTGGTGTATTATTGTATTTACATACTTAACACCAGCATGGAAGTCAGGGAACCTTGTTGTCACAAGAAAGTGGGCATTAACAGACACATTGAGTCATGGAATAGATGTCACTTTGAGAAAACTTTAACTAGAATATTTTACTGGATTTACTGTAACACAGGAGGGGGGGGGGAGTGTGTTAATTGTGGCAAAGGGCTCTTGATTTGATAAAATTGAAGCTACCATCCCTTTCCTTGGGTTAACTTCATTAGCTACTACTACCATTCCCCAGGCACTGAATGAAGTGTGAGCAATTATAATTATTATAATCGTGGGGTGCTAAACCCATAGGATTATACAGCACGTGGTGGGGGGAATGGAAGGTATTCAGGCTCAATTCAGGTACCAGAGCACAGATCCAATTCCCTAGATAACAAGCCCCTCACCAGGATCAAGGAACCTCCCTCGAGGGGAAAGTGTGAGCAAGGTAACATTATATGAAGGAATTCGGGGAAACTGGTTAGCTGGACTTGAGTTCTGGAGGTGGAAGTACAGTGCCTGCACTCTGAAGGAGGGGTGGAGGTGTTTGGAGGGACATCTAAACTGTACTATCAGCATGCCTCTAGCAATACAGTGATGGTGAAAATGTTTCTTCTTGTAGGAGACAGCTGGTGTGTTAAAAAAAATAATTAACTAAGGTTTAAGTACTGTATCTAAATGACATTTCATTTTTCATAAAAACTTAAGGAAGCATTAACTCCTTTATTTTGTTAAAAGATGACATAGTACAAAGGTATAATCCATTAACCCATACAAACTGTCTTTTCCCCTTTTACTTACGTAAGATTTCTATTACATTCTAGACAATCCCATTTAATTATCTTGTGTAGGATCAAACTCTTTATACCAGCGACTAAATTCCATGACTTTCCTTCGCTGTGCATCAAAATTTTCCCTTCGTGGTTTACGCCATAAGTGACTGTCCAAGTCCAACATCCCACCAACAATTTCCTGAAAAAATTATAGTATTTTCAAAATAAGAGAGATGTGCTTAGGCATTTTTAACATCCAACAGAAAATATAGTACATATAACTGAAACATTGTTCAAAATAATAAAAACAATCTTCACAACATATTTGATCACTAAATACAGAAAGTACTAAGCTTATATACAAGTTGTGTTTTTAGTTTTACAACTTACAGATGAGGTATAGTCCTGCTATAGGGGGAATATTATTATGATAATCAAAACTAAGAGCTAAACCCACAAGGGTCATACAGGGCTGCTATATGAAGAATAGGAGGGCATATGAATCTGGGGTAGAGAAGAGAGGTAGAGGTCATCCTAGAATAGGTTGGAGGGATAAAAGAGGTTTTGAGTGCTAGGGGCTTGGATATCCAACAGGCTTGTGTGAGCACGTTAGATAGTTAAGGCAAATAGTTTTTATGAACTGACGTGCTGCTGGAGTGTGAACAAGGCACAATAACATGGAGGAATTCAGAGAAACCTATTAGCTGGACTTAGTCATGGAGGTGAGAGTAGAGTGCTTGCACTCTGAAGGAGAGAGTTGGGATGTTGCTTCTTGAAGGGTCATCTGAACTGTAATGTCAGTGCCCTTCTGGCAAGACAGTGGTTGAATGAGCAAGAGAATGTTGTTTCCTTTGTTAGGACACCCTATCTTGGTGGGGGACAGTTGGAGAATTAAAAATGATCCAATGGAAACAGTGGCCAATCTAGCACCTCTGTACTCTGCACTCGGTGTGCACACTATGAGAAAAATCGGGGACCCCCAGTTCAACTGAGCACCAGCTAGAGAAAATAGTATGGCAAACACCAGTGATTCACTGATGTCATGTCATATTAGCACTCACATTTTTAAGAGGAAAGTAAAAATAGGTTAGAAAAATGCATGAGTGGGTGTGAGTTGGACCTGACTAGCTTGTGCTACTGGGTCAGATGTCATGCTTCTCCTTTCAGTGGATGTGACCTGACTAGGTGGGTCATTGGTCTAAGCCAGGGGGGTGACATGGACCTGCTTTGCATGGGCCAGTAGGCCTGCTGCAGTGTTCCTCCTTTCTTATGTTCTTATGTATTCAGCTGACTAGCTGGCTGATTATTATACATAATGTAAATTACCTAGGATAACCCAAAAATTCCAGGCCAAGTGCTATACATTGTTTGTAGATCTACGACATTAATAAATATGATGCAAATAACAGCAGTGTCACTTGCTCAGCAATCGGAGTGGCCCATACACCACAAACCAACAGGTTTACTAGCTGCTCCCTGAGACAGAGACAAGCAGATGGAAAGACAGACACACAGGTAGACATAAGCAGAGCTAGGTAGACACAGATAGACATGTTTGTGTGCAAGAGTAAAAACATATAAAGGCAAGGTTCCCCCATCCAGCAGTGCACATTCATCATATGTCACTTGTTATTTGACACTTGTCATAACACCATGATTCAAGGAGTTCATATTATACTCCAGGCACACACACAAGACAAAGACAGATAAGCAGAGCAAGGCAGACAGACGGATAGATGTACAGAATGACAGACATACAAAGACATGTTTGTGTGCAAGAGTAAAAACATATAAAGGCAAGGTTTTCCCCTCCAGCAGGGCACATTCATCAAATGTCATTTATATGACCATTGTCATAACACCAGTCTTCAAGGAGTATCATACTCCAGCATGTCTAACACATTGCTGGGACCAATAAATACTTTGTATATATTTCTAGACAAGAGTAAATGACCAGGGCAGGTGAAAATGTTTACCTGTCAGTGTGAGTGTTGCAATTTGAGTACTATTTCAGTACATAATATTAGTGCCAGAATAAAGATTGGCTATGAAATCACAAGAACTATTAAAAATTATAATTATCAGAACATAAAAATTATATTAACAAAAAAAAAAGGTAAATCAGCAACATTTCTGCAAGCGGCAGGACTGGATATTGCCATCAGGTGAGCATCCAGAGCCAACTTCAGTCTTATATCTTGGTAAGTACTGGTCCTAAAAAAAATTTTTTTTTTTTTTGGTCTTGCACCACACAGAAAATAGCCCTTTTTAATTTAAAAACAAAAAAAAAAATGATTTTTTTATTTTTCAAAATATTTGGAGTGCCATGGAGGTGAACATAGATCTACGTTTGGATAGTTTAACCCTTAAACTGTCCAAACGTAGAGCTACGTTTGCGCGAGTAGTGCTCCAACCTTGATTTTCTCCATAAGAATGTAAAAAATATAGATCTATGTTCAGAACGCTACGCATGCAAATGTAGATCTATGTTTGGACAGTTTAAAGGTTAAGGGCTAGTAATAAGCTGAATCCCTAATTTCTGCCTAAAAATTTGGTTTTAAAACTTTGATCTATACTAAAAGTGCTGTATAGCCCTTGTGGCTTAGCGCTTCTTTTTGATTATAATAATAATATACTAAAAGTGTAGGACATACAGTTTACATTGTAAATGACTAATGTATTTTGGCATAATCACAAAATAACATTATTACCTGAGCAAAGTTGTTAGGAAATTCTTGCTCATCTTCAATTACATGAGCAAAGCCAGCATCCATTGCAAAATCAACAAAAAAGTAAGGAAGTCCCTTTGGTACTGCTTTGCGTACATCACGGTTTTTTAAATCCACAAGCTTCTTATTTTGTGCCCATTCAGCTTCACACTCCATGATGGCTTTCTGGAAATTTAATATAAAATAAGTTTTTTTTTTTTTCAACAAGTCTGCCGTCTCCCACCGAGGAAGGGTGACTTGGACTTCCAGCAGGCAGGCATGCATGAGCGTGTTCAATAGGAGTGAATGGAGACTAATGGTATTTGGGACCTGACGATCTGTTGGAGTGTGAGCAGGGTAATATTTAGTGAAGGGATTCAGGGAAACCGGTTATTTTTATATAGCTGGACTTGTATCCTGGAAATGGGAAGTACAATGCCTGCACTCTAAAGGAGGGGTTCGGGATATTAGCGGTTTGGAGAGATATGTTGTGTATCTTTATACGTATATGCTTCTAAACTGTCGTGTTCTGAGCACCTCTGCAAAAACAGTGATTATGTGTGAGTGAGGTGAAAGTGTTGAATGATGATAAAATAAGTATAGCTATGAATTCAATGGGTTTGCACAACTAACTGAATTCCGAAGTAAAATGATAACTTACAGTATGGCAACTTATAGTTTTAATTAATAAGTGCATAAATAATTTTTTTTTTTTTTTTTCAATAAGTCGGCCGTCTCCCACCGAGGCAGGGTGACCCAAAAAAGAAAGAAAATCCCCAAAAAGAAAATACTTTCATCATCATTCAACACTTTCACCACACTCACACATTATCACTGCTTTTGCAGAGGTGCTCAGAATACAACAGTTTATAAGCATATACGTATAAAGATACACAACATATCCCTCCAAACTGTAGTAATTTAGTGGTATCAAAGCAAGTGTTAATGATGAGTGAGAATAGCAGGAGCAGTAGCAATACTGTCTATTTAAACCCATGATCCTAAAGTAGTATACATATTTAACTTTAGAAAGCATGACACTTAACATAAATGAAATAAAGGAAAAGATTCAATTGTGGTCTTGGTTACTCAATAAATTTATGAGTAGGTTTCTTGAATATCCATCTAAAACACCTTTCTATAACTGTATGACATCTCCGAATATCTTTTATTATGATGAATCCTGAAAATACAGTACGATGCAAAAAAAATATTTAAAGCAGACTAGTATTATATATACGTATTATTATATTCATGGAGGAGTCATACAGCACCTGGGAAATAAAAGAATATTCAGATTTGATCCAAAGGGAGTGTAGTTCCAATTCCTAGGATCAAGAGCCTTTCACCAGCATGAAGGAGCATCCCTTGAAGGGAATGCTACAGAAACCCAAATAAGAAAGATAAATGACAAGGGAAAAATGTATGTATGCACAATTACAAAATTCAAAATTATTGCAATAAGATTTTATCCTCATACCATGTTACTTATTTATACAAAAATTTGAAAGCAGAGAGTAATTTAGTAATATAAATTAAAACACTTCCCTCTTATCATGCTGAATTTTATGCAGAGTCAAATATTTCTAGAGCAATACAAAATGACTGCCTCCGTACTTTCTTTTTACGAATTTTTAGCATCAATATAAAGTAGATTTTAGCACTGTATACTGCTTTAGCATTAATATTCAAAGAATATATGTATACAAGATTTTAGCACTGTATACTGCTCTAGCATCGATATTCAAAGCACTATACTGCTTCAATGTCAATATTCAAAGTACTATACATATAAAAGATTTTAGCACTGTATACTGCTTTGTCTATATACAGTAGTAAGTACCTGGAGTTTCCCTAAACTATTAATAATATGAAAGAAGAATAGAATTCTTACCTTAAAGTAAATGGGAGCCATGTCTCCCATTTCTCTTGGAAGAGAAACACAGTTGAGAGCCATGTGTGGATAGTATTTTAGTCTTTTAACAGTCTCGAAGAATATACAGTCCTCACCCCGTGAATTAAACATTTTGACTATAGACTTGCGAAAAATCTGTCAAGATAAAATATTTTAATAAAGTGCCATATTCTAAGTATTGTCATACACATGTATTGAAAAAAATATTACAATTTTAAATATGTTCATTACATTGTAAGGATTATAAAAACTCACCTGGATTTCACTCCAGAGATCTTCATCAGCTTGAACAGAACAAGCAACATGGTGAATTGGGACAATCAGACAATGCCCAGGAGTCAGGGACTCATGAGGAGGTAGACATACATATGACTGTAAGAAGATAAGTAGAATACTACTGTAGTAGATAAATCGTCAATTAAATTGCACACACACACACACACACGCATGCACGCACACACACAAATAATCTAAATAAGCTCCACAGAGTTACTAATTATCACATCCCAAGGAAATGTCCCATTTTCCTTTACCATTTCAATTTAACTTCTTTTCATCAACATTAATTTAATCACTTCATGTGCACCCATGTCCTTCAAATCTACATGCAATCCTTTGACAACACATCCCTCTTAATTATTTGTTAGGCATTCTACCTTTTTAATTATAGACCTATTTAAAAAATTGTCATTTATAAACACTGATAAAACAATACCCTTTTACTGTACAATGACACACAATCTCTTCTTTCCCAGTTTAAAAATATCTAGGAGTTGAGTGTGAGCAGGGTAATATTTTGTGAAGGGATTCAGGGAAACCGGTTAGCCAGACTCGAGTCCTGGAAATAGGAAGTACAATGCCTGCACTTGAAAGGAGGGGTTTGGGATATTGGCAGTTTGGAGGGACTTCTAAACTGTCGTATCTGAGCGCCTCTGCAAAGACAGTGATTATGTATGAGTGATGGTGAAAGTGTTGAATGACGAAAGTTTTTTCTTTCGTTTTGGGTCACCCTGCCTCGGTGGGAAATGGCTGACATGCTGACAAAAAAAACAAAAAAAGGGAGAAGAAAGAAGATATATATATTTTTTTTTTTCAACAAGTCGGCCGTCTCCCACTGAGGCAGGGTGACCCAAAATAGAAAGAAAATCCCCAAAAAGAAAATACTTTCATCATCATTCAACACTTTCACCACACTCACAAATTATCACTGTTTTTGCAAAGGTGCTCAGAATACAACAGTTTAGAAGCATATACGTATAAAGATACACAACATATCCCTCCAAACTGCCAATATCCCAAACCCCTCCTTTAAAGTGCAGGCATTGTACTTTCCATTTCCAGGACTCAAGTCCGACTATATGAAAATAACCGGTTTCCCTGAATCCCTTCACTAAATATTACCCTGCTCACACTCCAACAGATTATCAGGTCCCAAGTACCATTCGTCTCCATTCACTCCTATCAAAACATGCTCACGCAGCTTGCTGGAAGTCAAGCCCCTCGCCCACAAAACCTCCCTTACCCCCTCTCTCCAACCCTTTCGAGGACGACCCCTACCCCTCCTTCCTTCCCCTATAGATTTATATGCTTTCCATGTCATTTTACTTTGATCCATTCTCTCTAAATGACCAAACCACCTCAACAACCCCTCTTCTGCCCTCTGACTAATGCTTTTATTAACTCCACACCTTTTCCTAATTTCCACACTCCGAATTTTCTGCATAATATTTACACCACACATTGCCCTTAGACAGGACATCTCCACTGCCTCCAACCGTCTCCTCGCTGTTGCATTTACCACCCAAGTAAAGTGTATGGTAGAGTTATTATTGAAAGAATTAAGAGTAAGACGGAGAATAGGATAGCAGATGAACAAGGAGGCTTTAGGAAAGGTAGGGGATGTGTGGACCAGGTGTTTACAGTGAAACATATAATTATTATTTATTATTTTATTATCACACTGGCCGATTCCCACTAAGGCAGGGTGGCCCGAAAAAGAAAAACTTTCACCATCATTCACTCCATCATTGTCTTGCCAGAAGGGTGCTTTACACTACAGTTTTTAAACTGCAGTGAAAGTGATTTGGTGGGTTTTAGTGCTGGAAAATTTAAACCCACGTGTGGTGGCCCAATTGGAAACACGGTCGACTGCATGTTGGAGAGAAACTGTAATGAGGTGACAGTCAGCGCCTGCACAGGCAATAGCGAAGTCATCAACATAGAGTGATGACCAAATATTTGATGGAAGACTAGAGGCCAAATCATTAATAGCAAGGAGAAAAAGTGTTGTGCTCAGAACACATCCCTGGGGGACACCTTCAGCTTGGATAAAGTCCGGGGAGAGCACATTATTAACCCGAACACGGAAATGCCTGTCAGTTAAAAAGTTCTTAAGGAAGGATGGTAGATTGCCTCGAAGGCCTAAGGAGTGGGCTTGGGGGCTAAAATATTATACCTCCAAGTTGTGTCATATGCCTTCTCAAGGTCAAAAAATTGGCAATAAACGAGTGGTTATTCGCAAAGGCATTACGAAACATACGTATCCAAGCGTAGTAAAGGGGTCTATGGAAGAACGTCCCTTACGAAAGCCATATTGACGAGTGGGAGAGACGTGTTGTGTGTCTCTAAATACCACACTAAACGTCTATTTACTAGGCGTTCCATTACTTTGCAAACTGCACTGGTAAGAGCAATGGGACAATAGTGGGGGGTTTATGTCCCGTAGTGCCTGGTTTGCGGAAAGGGAGAACAATGGCGGTTTTCCACAGCTGTGGAAGAACTCCTTGTGACCAAATAAGATTGTAAAGGCGAAATAGGACTGCAAGGGCTGACTGATGTAAATGTTGTAGCATACGAATATGAATGTCGTCGGGCCCAGCTGCCGATGATCGACAAGCTGAGAGTTTTTGCCTCCAGTTCTTGAAGTGTAAAAGGCACATTATACTGTTCTTCTTGAGAGAAAAAAAGTCCAAGGGGTGCTAACTCTCTGGCAAAACTTTGAGGAAAGAAATGAGGGGCATAGATGGAGTCCTGAGAAAAAACGGACCAGATGATTCCCAATTTCATTGGCAACATCTAGTGGGTTTGCTATATCAACACCGGCAACCCACAGAACAGGAGCCGGGTCAGGAGAATATTTACCGCTCAGTTTTCGTACTTTTTTCCAGACTGCACTCATAGAGGAAGCAGAGGTGATGGTGGAGACATAATCTCGCCAGCAAGTGCGTTTAGCATCACGGATGACATGGCGAGCGATCGCACGCTTCTGTTTAAAATCAAGGAGTCGCTCTGTGGTTCTATTTGTACCGGTACCTGCCCCATGCAGCGCGTTTCAAACGTATGCACGAGCACAAGCAGGAGACCACCAAGGCACGCATTTCTGAGAATGCTCCCCGAAGTTTGGGGTATAGAATGAGAAGTGCGGTGAAAACGGGGACGAGAAGAGGTGTAAAAAGTTTCATCTATGGAGGACGAAGAAGGAACCTCTTTAAAAACAGTTAGTGTGAGTAAAGGGTTTCCCAATTTGCCCGATTAAAATTGCCAGCGGTGGGGTGCGAAGAGGTGGCGAATATGAAGGGGAAGTAAGAATGATTGGGAAATGATCACTGTCATGTAAGCCCGGGGGAGAACAGACCAAGTGAATTTAAATGCGGCGGAGGAAGAGCAGACTGAGAGATCGATGCAAGAGAGAGTATGAGTCCGAGGATCAAAATGAGTGTGAGTACCTGTATTTAAAACATGGAGGGGGTGGGTGGCAAGAAAAGCCTCTAACTGAATTCCACGGGAATCACAGTGAGACCCCCCCAGAGGAAATGGTGGGCATTAAAATCACCAAGAAAACAGAATCGGTGGCGGTAATGACGAAACAAGGAAGGAAAAAATCCGGAATAGATAATGCCCGAGAAGGAGAGAGATATAAAGAACAGAGCGTATACCACCTATGTAAGTGGATACGGCTGCTGTGTAATGCAGCGAAGTATGAACAAATTAGCTGATGGTAGGGAATAATCAGTGCGTAGAAGAAGGGCACTTTCATTAAAGGTCCCATCAGGAAAAGGATTGAAGAATACAATAAATTATAGCCTGAGATGTGAGAAATAACAGAAAGGTGTAATTTTGGTTCCTGTAAGCAAACACCAACAGGGGCAAACTGGGAGAGTAACATCTGAAGCTCACCCGATTACCCCTGAGGCCGCGTATATTCCACTTTTAATAGGCCATGATTGTCAATGATAAAGATACTTGAAATCCGCAGGTAAGGGTTCCTACAGACTAGAGGGGTTAGAAAAGTCCACATGCGGAGGCAGTGGAAAACGTTCAAGCAGCAAAAGGAACGGTGCGCTGTGAAGAAAGGATTTGCGCAGAGGGAAAGCAGAGGAGAGAGAAAGAGCGGAAGGTGGATCAGTGTCCATTGATGGTTTGGTCTCTGCAATATATTCAGAGATTGCTTCAAGTGTTTCGGAATTCAGAGATGTCGTATGGGAGACAATATTGGGAAAGGTAGGGGGAGGATGAGTAAAGATTGGAACCCGTATTGGACTGTACCAAGGTAGGGGGGGGCAAAAGGGTGGAGGGAAAATGGGAGAAGCGTGGCAGGGGACAGGAAAAGGGAGGAACCTGGGAGGTGGCAGAAGAGGAAGAAACTTGGGAGGGAACAGGGGGGAGGAAGGTTACAGTACAAGGAGGGGTGAACCTCTACACTTGTAACTGAGCAGTGGGAGGGGAAGAACCAGGGACAGAGACAGGGAGGGTAAAAGGAGGAGGGGGAAGATGGGTAGGAGGTGTTAACGGACCTTTTTTTTTACTTTTTAGAAGTAGAGGGACGATTGGGAGGAGGGGTCGTACGAGGTCTCGTCGATACTGAGGCTTGTGAGAGAGAACTCGAAGAAGCGAGATTAGACTGAGGCGTTGAAGTAGGGACGTCTGAGCCGAGGACAGCAAAAGGATTAGATACAGAGTGATTATGGGAGAGGTAAACCAGAGGTGGGTGTAGAAGATGGGATACCAGAAGTGGGGGGACATTTTGAAACACGGGAATAAAAAACAGTGGGAGTCTCCCTTGGAGGCGGAGATGAGAAACTGCATGGCATAAGGGGAGACCGTCTGTCTCTTTGAGGTAACGGATTTCCCGCTCATTTAAATAGACTTGACAATGGCGAGAGTACGAAGGGTGAGCCTCATGACAGTTAAGGCAAGAGGGAGATCGATTGCAAGACGTATTTAGAATGGTCATCGGCACCACAAGACTGGGCATTCGGCGATAGATCTGCAATATTTCGCTGGATGGCCAAATCGCCAGCCCAATTTCTACACTGTTGTGGTGTAGGGATCACCTTTCGAACTTGTAACCGATGTCCTGCTATAAAAAATGAGGATGGGAGGTTCTCGGCTGTCAAAGTTAAACGAGCCACATTGCTAGGGTATCGTCCCCGCCCATGGGCAGGAAGAACGTAAGTGTCTACCTTGAGGATTGGGAGATCTTGGAGTTCCAGCTGTTCAAGAATGTCAGTGCCCCATGTCTGGAAATTTTGTTGAAACTATGGTATGGGGAGAATGACGGTACCACTACAAGAATTGAAGGAATGATGTTTTTCAAGAGTGACAGGAAAAGTATCGATATGGGAAAGACGAGAGGGGCTCATGAGCCTGGGTAGCATTCCGTACGGTAATGATGCGCGTACCGCTCTTAAGAGCATGAAAGAAATATCTTTACCAACATGGCGTAGGAGTGCCTTGCCAATACTATGGTCAGAAAGATAGGAGTAGAGGAAGTTGGCGTAAAGTGAAGAATTTAGTCCATTGTTCAGTCTGAAACTGAGCGTGGAAAGGTAGTGAAGGACGTGTCGATCGTTTCTGAGAAGAACGAGAAGGTGGAGAAGTATCATCAGCAGGTAATTGTCGTTGGCGTTTAGGTGTGGACCAAAGTTGGTCCCCACGTTGGAACGGGTCGGCGATTTGAAAATTGCTTGCACCGTAGAGGGAGAGGCCGGAAGCATAGTCAGAGGAGAGCGAAGGTCCGATAAATCGAAGGAAATCAGTCGAGGCCTCAGTACCTGAAGCGGGTGAGGAAACCCGCACCGGCAATAGGTAAGAGGCATGAGGAATGTCTGAAGAGTGGTCCAAAGACGAGGTGGGGGCAGAACGGGGTGCGGTATCAAGAAGGGGCCCGGGGGGGACCAGGTTCATGGAAATAGGGCTGCCATGGTTAGGTTACTTCTTTCTTTTTGTTTTTAAGAAAAAAAAGAAGAAGAAAAGAAAAGAAAAATAAAAAAAAGAATAAAAAAAGGGGGGACCGGGGAGGGTAGTTCCTAGGAGGGAAAAAGAAAAAAGGGGCCCGAAATCTCCCTCCGCCCCAAGAGGACCTCAGCACCGCAAGTAGCGCAGATTCAGCATGGAACCCGTTTCCATACCCTTTCCCATCATGCTAGTAAACTAACAATCCGGGATAGCAACCTCACATCTGCCGAGCTACCTCGGTGGACAAAAGAGAGGGCGGCCAGATATCCGCCACAAAGCATACCTCCTTCGGCCACCACCCCCCGGGAAACCGAAAGGTGGCTTCCAGAGATACACTCGTCACTCGAAAGACACCCAAAGCTACTCCGGGATAACCGGAGAGGGATCGGGGGCATCCCCCGGCGATCCAGATTCCACGGCAAACTACGCCACCGCTAAGAACCTCAACGGAATGGGATGGACCCCGGTATCCTTTCCCCTACCTAGGAACTAGCGCGCCTGTGGGAGAAATCCCAAAGAACAAAAAGAGGAAGGGCAAAAGGGAGGGGTGGGGAGGAGGAGGAGGAAAGGAAAAAGGGGAGGATGGGATAAGGGAGGGGAGATTGGGGGGTAATTAGGTTCGGTCTGAGGAAGAAGACCGATAGGTCTAATTCCTCAGACCAAGAGCCTCTTCACCACGCCAAGGAGCCCCCCTTGAAGAGGAGAAGTAGCAAGACATACCTGAAATCTTGCATGTTTATGAGACAGAAAAAAGGACACCAGCAATCCTACCATCATGTAAAACAATTACAGGCTTTCGTTTTACACTCACTTGGCAGGACGGTAGTACCTCCCTGGGCGGTTGCTGTCTACCAACCTACTACCTAAAGGAGGGGTTTGGGATATTGGCAGTTTGGAGGGATATGTTGTGTATCTCTATACGTATATGCTTCTAAACTGTTGTATTCTGAGCACCTCTGCAAAAGCAGTGATAATGTGTGAGTGTGGTGAAAGTGTTGAATGATGATGAAAGTATTTTCTTTTTGGGGATTTTCTTTCTTTTTTTTGGGTCACCCTGCCTCGGTGGGAGACGACCGACTTGTTGAAAAAAAAAAAAAAAAAAAAAAAAAAAAAAAAAAAATTACATATATATATATATATATATATATATATATATATATTTATATATATATATATATATATATATATATATATATATATATATATATTACATGTATATTTATATATATATATATTATATATATATATATATATATTATATATATACATGTATATATTATTATATATATATATATATATATATATATATTATATATATATATATATATATATATATATATATATATATATATTATATATATGTATGTATATGTATATATAAAGTGCAAAAGAAAATACTTATGTATAGTAGAAGAATAGAGGTGCATTACATCAATCACTCTTACAATTCATTAAGAAAATATTATGGGCCAGATATTTTAAGTTAAATAACAAGGATTAAAATTCTGCTAAAAGTAAAAGAGAGTATATATAAAGTGTAGGAATGGGACAACATTAATGTTTTTACTGATACTGATACCAATACTGCACTCAGTTTTAGACTGATCTATACCATCAAAATCTATTGATGCCCACTGATACCAATACAATAGCTGGCACAGCCCTATATACAGGACAGACAGAAGTAAAGAAGAATATTCACTAAACATGTCTCAGGAAACATCTACAGCATGTCATATGTAGTAAAATACTAAAGTGTCTTAACTGACCACATCAGCTGTTTCCAACAAGGTAGTGTGACCCAAATATAGGTGAACACATTCACTGTAGCTCATTCAACAGCTGTCTTGTCATTAGTGTACATTAATTTGGTAATAATTCCAAGGTTTGGACAAATATTCATAACTGTAAAACACAAAGTAAGCAACAAATGATTTTTATGCAAAAGCCAAAAATTACTACAGTATCTATATACATACCTTAGTCCCTAATGCAACAATTAAATGCTTTGGCATCTCTTTATTGTCGAAGCACCACTGGCATGACTCCAGCGAACGCTCAGAACGTTTGTGTTCCTGAGGAAAATGTAAAATTTATAGATTTTTTGTGAAAGACCCTTTAGGTAGCAAAGTGTACCATTAACCCCTTTCTGTGTCATGAGCCCTGAAATTTAAAAAATATATATGTAATTTTTTCTTCTGAAATGGCAAAAGAATCTTTTTGTGAAGGTAATGACACCAAAAAATACAAAATTTGATGAAAACCTTCTAAAATTAGCAAGGTGCAAAGATAATAGTCTGGCACAATTGATGCATCAGCAACTACATCCAATTTGTTCTATTTTAAGCCAATTCCACTGCTCTATTTGACCAAATTCCTATCTATTTCACTAGTATGCCTTCCAACTGAGTAAGCTGTATGTTTTCTGTGTCTTATGCCTTTTATTATACAGATAATGAATATTAGAAACTGCATGACTAAACTTTTAATCAATTCATGCCAGACTTTTACTAAATAACCCAAGCTATGTTTTGAAAAGCTAGATGAAAAGTTTTACCATGTTATTCTACATAGAATTAGTTGACTAGGTTCAAGGCAAATTGAATGCATGAAAAATCATTAAACCCACAAGAATATTTTAATGTGTAAACTAGAGAATACAGTAAATTCTGTACATATATACAGGTCTCCCTCAACATTCGCGTTTTCAACTTTCGCGGGCTTCACACATTCGCGAATTCCCAAACGCCAAATCATATTTAAGTTTACCGCCACGAGTCCTTACTACCCTCCCTCCGACCCCTGCAACTGGCAGCCAGCCCTCCCACCACTGTGGGGTGAGTGTTTTGTTTGTTTATTATTTGCTATTAAACTACAGTATAAATAATGTAAACCCATCCATGACTGCATATTAGAATGGCTATTCAGACAGGTATTGGAAGGTGACATCATGTGTTTACTCTTGAACACAGCAAAGAATCAAACATTTCTGCTACTGCTAATAATAATAATAATAATAATAAAAATATTAATATAATAATAATAATAATACGATAGAATTGAAGAAGGAAATTGTACAAAAATACGAGGGTTGAAGCAGTGGTGGAGGAGGTAGTTGACACATTGTCAGTGTGGCTTTGTTTATGCTGGAGTGAGTATTAGTCTTCATGCTCTTCCAAACATTTCACAATAATTCATTGTATTTGGTGCTTGTAGACTGAGTGTGACTGGAGTGGTTGAGGCAGTGGTAGAGGCAGTGGTAGAGGCAGTGATAGAGGCAGTGATAGAGGCAGTTATAGAGGCAGTGGGTGAGGCAGTGGTAGAGGCAGTGGTAGAGGCAGTGGTAGAGGCAGTGGGTGAGGCAGTGGGTGAGGCAGTGGGTGAGGCAGTGGGTGAGGCAGTGGGTGAGGCAGTGCGTGAGGCAGTGGGTGAGGCAGTGGTAAAGGCAGTGATAGAGGCAGTGATATTTACTAACATATATGTTATAAATAATAATAGTACATTATGAATAACATTTATTATTATTATTATTATCAATGTTATTAATATTAACATGTACTATTATTATTTATAACATATATGTTAGTAAATAGGTAGTAGGTTGGTAGACAGCAACCACCCAGGGAAGTACTACCGTCCTGCCAGATGACTGTGAAACAGAAACCTGTAACTGTTTTGCATGATGGTAGGATTGCTGGTTTCTTTTTCTGTCTCATAAACACGCTAGATAACAGGGATATCTTGCTACTCCTACTTACACTTTGGTCACACTTCACAGACACGCACATGCATATATATATACATACATCTAGGTTTTTCTCCTTTTTCTAAATAGCTCTTGTTCTTCTTTATTTCTTCTATTGTCCATGGGGAAGTGGAAAAGAATCTTTCCTCCGTAAGCCATGAGTGTCGTATGAGGCGACTAAAATGCTGGGAGCAATGGTCTAGTAACCCCTTCTCCTGTAGACATTTACTAAAAAAGAGAAGAAGAAAAACTTTATAAAACTGGGATGCTTGAATGTGCGTGGATGTAGTGCGGATGACAAGAAACAGATGATTGCTGATGTTATGAATGAAAAGAAGTTGGATGTCCTGGCCCTAAGCGAAACAAAGCTGAAGGGGGTAGGGGAGTTTCGGTGGGGGGAAATAAATGGGATTAAATCTGGAGTATCTGAGAGAGTTAGAGCAAAGGAAGGGGTAGCAGTAATCTTGAAGGATCAGTTATGGAAGGAGAAAGAGAATATGAATGTGTAAATGCAAGAATTATGTGGATTAAAGTAAAGGTTGGATGCGAAAAGTAGGTCATAATAAGTGTGTATGCACCTGGAGAAGAGAGGAATGTAGAGGAGAGAGAGAGAGAGATTTTGGGAGATGTTAAGTGAATGTATAGGAGCCTTTGAACCAAGTGAGAGAGTAATTGTGGTAGGGGATCTGAATGCTAAAGTAGGAGAAACTTTTAGAGAGGGTGTGGTAGGTAAGTTTGGGGTGCCAGGTGTAAATGATAATGGGAGCCCTTTGATTGAACTTTGTATAGAAAGGGGTTTAGTTATAGGTAATACATATTTTAAGAAAAAGAGGATAAATAAGTATACAAGATATGATGTAGGGCGAAATGACAGTAGTTTGTTGGATTATGTATTGGTAGATAAAAGACTGTTGAGTAGGCTTCAGGATGTACATGTTTATAGAGGGGCCACAGATATATCAGATCACTTTCTAGTTGTAGCTACACTGAGAGTAAAAGGTAGATGGGATACAGGAGAATAGAAGCATCAGGGAAGAAAGAGGTGAAGGTTTATAAACTAAATGAGGAGGCAGTTAGGGTAAGATATAAACAGCTACTGGAGGATAGATGGGCTAATGAGAGCATAGGCAATGGGGTCAAAGAGGTATGGGGCAGGTTTAAAAATGTAGTGTTGGAGTGTTCAGCAGAAGTTTGTGGTTACAGGAAAGTGGGTGCGGGAGGAAGAGGAGCAACTGGTGGAATGATGATGTAAAGAGAGTAGTAAGGGAGAAAAGTTAGCATATGAGAAGTTTTTACAAAGTAGAAGCGATGCAAGGAGGGAAGAGTATATGGAGAAAAAGAAGAGAGGTTAAGAGAGTGGTGAAGCAATGTAAAAAGAGAGCAAATGAGAGAGTGGGTGGAGATGTTATCAACAAATTTTGTTGAAAATAAGAAAAAGTTTTGGAGTGAGATTAACAAGTTAAGGAAGCCTAGAGAACAAATGGATTTGTCAGTTAAAAATAGGAGAGGAGAGTTATTAAATGGAGAGTTAGAGGTATATGGGAAGATGGAGGGAATATTTTGAGGAATTGTTAAATGTTGATGAAGACGGAAGCTGTGATTTCGTGTATAGGGCAAGGAGGAATAACATCTTGTAGGAGTGAGGAAGAGCCAGTTGTGAGTGTGGGGGAAGTTCTTTGAGGCAGTAGGTAAAATGAAAGGGGGGTAAGGCAGCCGGGATTGATGGATAAAGATGAAATGTTAAAAGCAGGTGGGGATATAGTTTTGGAGTGGTTGGTGCAATTATTTAATAAATGTATGGAAGGGGGTAAGGTACCTAGGGATTGGCAGAGAGTATGCATATTTCCCTTTTGTATAAAGGCAAAGGGACAAAAGAGAGTGCAAAAATTATTAGGGGGATAAGTCGTTGAGTATCCCTGGTAAAGTGTATGGTAGAGTTATTATTGAAAGAATTAAAGAGAAAGACGGAGAATAGGATAGCGATGAACAAGGAGGCTTTAGGAAAGGTAGGGGGTGTGTGGACCAGGTGTTTACAGTGAAACATGTAAGTATTTAGATAAGGTTTAAAAGGGAGGTCTTTGTGGCATTTATGGATTTGGAAAAGGCATATGACAGGGTGGATAGGGGGGCAATGTGGTAGTTGTTGCAGGTGTATGGTGTAGGAGGTAGGTATGAAAGCAGTGAAGAGTTTTTATGAGGATAGTGAGGCTCAAGTTAGAGTATGTAGGAAAGAGGGAAATTATTTCCCAGTAAAAGTAGGCCATAGACAAGGATGTGTGATGTCACCGGGGTTGTTTAATATATTTATAGATGGGGTTGTAAGAGAAGTAAATGCGAGGGTCTTGGCAAGAGGTGTGGAGTTAAAAGAAAAAGAATCACACTAAAGTGGGAGTTGTCACAGTTGCTCTTTGTGATGACACCGTGCTTTTTGGGGAAGATTCTGAAGAGAAGTTGCAGAGATTGGGGGATGAATTTGGTAGGGTGTGCAAAAGAGAAAATTAAAAGTGAATACAGGAAAGAGTAAGGTTATGAGGATAACAAAAAGATTAGGTGATGAAAGATTGGATATCAGATTGGGGGGGAGAGAGTATGGAGGTGAATGTATTCAGATATTTGGGAGTGGACGTGTCAGCGGATGGGTTTTATGAAAGATGAGATGAATCATAGAATTGATGAGGGGAAAAGGGTGGTGGTGCACTTAGGAGTCTGTGGAGACAAGAACTTTGTCCTTGGAGGCAAAGAGGGGGAATGTTGAGAGTATAGTTTTACCAACGCTCTTATTTGGGTGTGAAGCCCTGGGTGATGAATGTTGCAGCGAGGAGAAGGCTGGAGGCAGTGGAGATGTTATGTCTGAGGGCAATGTGTGGTGTGAATGTAATGCAGAGAATTCGTAGTTTGGAAGTTAGGAGGAGGTGCGGGATTACCAAAACTGTTGTCCAGAGGGCTGAGGAAGGGTTGTTGAGGTGGTTCGGACATGTAGAGAGAATGGAGCGAAACAGAGTGACTTCAAGAGTGTATCAGTCTGTAGTGGAAGGAAGGCGGGGTAGGGGTCGGCCTAGGAAAGGTTGGAGGGAGGGGGTAAAGGAAGTTTTGTGTGCGAGGGGCTTGGACTTCCAGCAGGCATGCGTGAGCGTGTTTGATAGGAGTGAATGGAGACAAATGGTTTTTAATACTTGACGTGCTGTTGGAGTGTGAGCAAAGTAACATTTATGAAGGGGTTCAGGGAAACCGGCAGGCCGGACTTGAGTCCTGGAGATGGGAAGTACAGTGCCTGCACTCTGAAGGAGGGGTGTTAATGTTGCAGTTTAAAAACTGTAGTGTAAAGCACCCTTCTGGCAAGAC